GTGTGATTTATTAATGTGAACAATATGTTAATTTTACACAGAAACACATGACTAAGTAAAATCAATACTTTGATTTGGTATTTAGGCGGAACACAAACTTACTAATGGCTACTTCCTGGTTGTCAACCCTGGATATTATGAATTTTAACTGTCCCTTGTGCTGTTTTGAAAATCTAGCAACACTACCGCTTCCAGATGTCAAACTAGCCATGTGATTCTTTGGGTCCAGGCATGCAGGTAAGAAGTGCCATATGGACAAAGCCTCTGATGTGAACATAATAATGTAATTATAATTACTCATAGAATAAAAATATCAAGAAGTATGGCAACAAAGAAAAACATTTTGTTGTTAGCTACCCGATTAACAGGAATTCTTCACTAACAGAAACAAAGCCATAAGAATTATAAATACACTGCCTTGGTTTGCTTTCAGTGTTGGCTCCTCCTAGTCTCCTACCATCTCCTGCTGTGAAACGAACCATTTCCCTTTTTTCGGTAACCACACATGTCATTTAGGGAAATTCCAGCATTTGCTGCACAAATTCTGATTCACTTTGACCCGCACAAGGATTTAACTCATTCTGGGAATTGCCACAAACTAATCCAGTCAGTCCAGCACACTAAAGATATTGCAACTTCCCTTTTCTTTGTATTATTATTCTCAGATTTCCTATCTGTTTGATGTTTTAACTCATTCTGTTCTCATCCACCTATCTCAGCAGTAGGTCTGTGTTCATGCATTCTTTGGGCTGCTTCAAAAACAGAACCGCAGGGTAGTTCGATTTTGCAAAATGCAGAGCAGGAATGGGAAGCCTTCAGATGGAAACCATCCAGATGTCTTGGACTGGAGCTCCTCTAATCCCCTAATAGCACCAACAGGGTCACACTCCCCCTGTTGATGCTCAGACGCAGGTCGTTGGTCAAGTCAACCATGGTGGTCTCAACTCCAAATCCCATCCTAAAGCCAGTTTGAAATGGGTCTAGATAATCGGTTTCATCCAAGACCACTTGGAGTTGAAGAGCAACCACCCTTCTCAATCACTTTGCTTAAGAATGGTAGCATAGAGACCGGCCTATAGTTGTTCATGTCCAGGGGTTCCAGGGAAGGTTTTTTCAGAAGCGGCCTAACCGCCGCTTCCTTTAAACAGGATGGAACATTGATGATGCCTGCAACCACTGCCATGAGTTTCGGCTGCTGCGCGGTCGCATGCATCGCGGCCGCCATTTTGTTTTCCAAAATGGCGGCCGCGATGCAAAATGTAAAAAGAAATATATATATATATATATATATATATTCTGAAGCCTTTATAAAACCTGGGGCCTCTCCTTTCCCACTCCCACTGAGTTTCGTCCCACTCACACCATCTCTTCAACATTTTAAAGGGACACAAGTGATCAGAATAGTTCATATCTGCCAAAAGACAGATGTTTGGGGAGCAGTGGTGTCATTCCCTGCTTAGGGTGGCATCTCATGTGGCCCGATCCCCCACACCCCTCTAGTGATGCCCCTGCCTCCAGTTATACTAGATAAACTGAAGAATATTGAATAAGGTTACACATATGAATTAGGGACATAAGCCTATTTGCTCAGTAGACATGTGGCTTTGACTAATCATGAATGAGGAGATGCAGAAGATATGCAGTTTGGCCACTCTCCCCTTTAGCTTCTTTCTATATTCTTTCAGATTATTTTGCTGCTATTAACCTGTTGCTGTGAGTTGTCCATGTATCTCAGTCTAAAACTTTATTACTTGTTTAAAGGTTTTATTATCATATTTTACTAACAATACAAAAAGGCAATGCATCAAGACTTCTGCAGACCAGTTCTTAAATGGTTAAATGGTTTTGATTATAATGTGGTTTAATAATGTTTTAAGGGGGGGGG